GGGAGAGAAAGAGAGAGAGGGACGGTGATACCGTGTGAGAGTGCTAAGCCGAGCTACTCTGTGTCTGCTAGAGCCGGTATAGGAAGAGAGAGAAAAGAGATCAAGTGAGGTCTGAGGCATGTTGACCCGCTGCGCTTGGTTTCTCAGCATCGGCGGCCCAGGCACACCGTGTGCTGCGTTTGCCGTCAACCTGGGGCTCGTCCAGGCCATCGATCATCGGACGGGGCGACGACTTCTTCGTCCGCTACGGGGACAAGGAACGGGAAGCCGTGGCCTCCTTCGACTTCCTCGACGAGTTCGTGGCGCCCTCCTCGACTGGATCCAACGCCAGTCTCATCGAGCTGGACGACACGCCGTCCGCGGAGCTTCACAGCGACATCATGAAGCTATCACCGCTCTCGGATCAGCTTCGGGGCAGAGCCCTCCAGTAAACAGCGACTGTTCCCCGTCGGAGATAGGCAAACTGGTTCCTCCGACGACCACACCCTTCGCTTCGCAGAATTTCTTTGTTTCCCTTTTTGTTCTCTTCCAATTTGATGTCTTAACGTTCGTATTAAAGTTGAAATGTTGATTCTTTTTAAGGTTCATGGCAGTGTTTCCATAGAGTTGTATAACTGGCCGCTCTAGGTCCTTCAGGGAAGATCTTCAGGTGTGTCCGTATGACCTTTGAAAAGTCGTTAACACGTTATCTCTGGAAAGATTAAAAAGGAGTTTTACGTCTTCGATGAATCATTTGTACTTTGGTAGATAAGCGGTCGTATACGCACATACGTTGTTCAGACTGAAGATTTAGTCTTTCCGGAGTTAATGTTGTAGCTAAGTGTGGAAGTAGTGTAAAGATCTAACAGACCGTGAGAAGACTCCTTTAGAATCTGTACTGTTGGGTTGGCACTGATTCATGAAACCTGTAATGAACTTATTTTATTTTGTAACACTTAGTTCTCGGGTTGTTCGAATTACAAACAAATTGTAGCGATGCAGCGTTCCCTCGCATTGTCAATTTCCTCATAAGAGCATCATCCCACGTATTTGTAAAATAGCCTGCGAACATTATAATTTCTGTACACATCCGCTAACCGTCATGGCATCGTCCGATCAATGAAGCAGTCGCATAACAGTGTCCGCTGCCCTGTACACGATAATTGCACCTTATGAACCGTATAACGCTGTACGGAGGGAATAATGTACAATGTTTATCATTAGAAGATGTACGGATTTTCGTTCGCTGTAAGACACCCGAAAATCGTTTTGTTCGGTAATTAAAGGTCAGTGTAGCTTCACCGTAGTCAAATACGAGCTTTAATGTAAATGTTGCTAGATAGAAACGTAGAGTAGCATTCGCGCCGATGGAGAGGGGCGCATTAGCGAGAATTAAGAGGACAGGCAAGCGTGTCCCTCTCGAACGGCGAGAACCCATCCTAATCAATGTATTCGAATTGAATTCGCTCGAACGGGACGAGCGCAGTTTGCCTATCAACGACTATTCCTCTAAACGTGTGTATCCATCAATCTGATCCCCAGCGAATCGCTACTTGTCGCACGATCCTGAACGCACTCTTGGATATTGGAATCTGTAAATAGGCTACTAATTTTCGTACGAGTAAGATCGGTCGTCCACCATTCGAATCGAATCTTCGGCGTCGCGGGCTACAATTTTTATATATCCTCAAACGACGCGCGTCGAAGATGAACCGTTGGAACAGCAGCGAAGCTATCGCGGCGTTTCACTCGGATAATCGAGGTTTATTTATATAGGTATATCCGGGCGTCGATATCTTGCGTTTTTCCTGTTCCTTTCTTTTTTTATGTTCGAGCTTCCTCTTTTCAATAGAATGCCCAACGAACCGACACCGAGACCAGCAGAATCGACTTCGTCTGTCGCGCGAGAGAATGATCTCAACTCGGTTTCCCTTCGTGGAAACGCGTCGGTTTTACGATTACGCGAACTTTTCTGTACGATCGGGAGAGCCGGACAGAAGACAGTTGTTGTACTTGAAGTGTACTCTCGCCCGCAGGATGGACAGTAGATTCTTCAATTCGCGTAACGCTCGAGTCCTATCGGTAAACTTTGCGTGAGATGCGTTGCGAGCACCGTTCCAGAGTGTGGCACGAGTGGCAAGATACAGCATAGACTGGTATCATCTCAAACCTGTCTCGTCAGATACAACAAAGTGTTTCTAGCGCTTCCGCCGATGATCCCGTCGAACTAGATCACGATAAAGAAAAGCAAAGGGTCGAGGAGATCTAATTGTTGAAACCGCTCTTGTGTTTGTCTCGAGACAACTCGCGTAACGCACAGTAGAACCGAAAGAGAGAACGGAAAGATCGCGATCTCCGGAAGAAGAGAGAGGAACGCCAGGCTACGGAAAGTTTTTACGATTCTTTCAAACGAACCCGGTGATTTGGACACGACGCAACATCTTCCGAAACTGAGCTTAGAAACTTTAGATTAAGGACCGTTCGACGATTTTTTATGAATTTGTACGATCTCCTGAACGATCGTCGATGAACGTTCGAGGCGCGTAGTAATTCTATTTCTTGGTCGTGTTAAGGCACGCATTGCATTCGCGCTGCCAGCGCTCAACATTTTTTCCATTCGGTCGACAACCGAAAAGATGAATCGGGGCCACACGCGTTTCTCGCGTTACGAGAGAGTAGTGGATACGCGTGTGAGTCGTAGATGTTAGAGGAGAAAAGAAAATTCGCGTTTGACGAGGGTATTGTACCGAGCAAACGTTTCGCCACGGTTTATACGGGATTCGCGACACACTGAGAGCGTTAAAAGACGTTCGCTCGGAACGAACTTGCGTTCGGTGAAATTAATAAGGAAATATCATTAGTCCGTGTAACGTTAATGTAATAAAATCGAGATATTTTACAAGTAAATAGACGTTTAACTACGATGGCACGGATTATTAAAAGAATCGATTGGACTGACACCTGGGGAACAAAATAGTCGATTCTGCGACTTCGAAATGGCTACCGGGTACACTTGATCCATTCGCTAGCATTATCTTCATTCGCCAATCATCTCTTATTTTTTCTTATATTGTTGGGTGTATTGATAAGCAGTTGACTGTAATTTCAATAAAGTTGCAGTTTAACACTTATCCTCTCGTTAACCAAAATGGCGGACGGTGGTTAAGACAAGTGTCGTCCTCAAGTGTTTTACAGTGAACAGTTGAATCATAGTTTACTTATTGATATACTTAATATTAATTGCTTTTTCCGTAGAAAATCATCCACTTGAAATATACAAAGTTTTGGATCTTTTTTCTTAATAAAATTACTTATTTTAATGATTGTTCATTCGTTTACATATCCAGTAACATATTTGTTATGAAAGACTAAAGAACGAAGGCCCAACCAATAAACGTATACTGTTTAGTAAAATCATCGATTGTAACGTTGTCAACGTTAGCGAATGACAGTTTCAGTGAACAAACCACTAATTACGAATTCAATTATTGTGTAGAATAATTGAAATCCAATCGTCCTCCATTTCAGTGTCGGTAGCTGTCGGGAAACTACATTTCAGTGGTAACTTTGATTTCATGCTACTACAATTTATTTGTACCGTGTCAATTGCTAACGTTTCAGTGCTATACAAGATACTTTTGTAATATCATGGTCCATCCAGTCACTTGTATATTTTTATTATTACCATACAATGAAGTACAAGTATTTTTAGATGATGAATATTATCTCAGTCAAGAAATTGAATGAAATTTTCTTTTGTGGATGGACAGAACATCTAATTATTGTACACGTGTAAAAAAAAACACGATCAAAGTACACAGCAAATTAATGATTATATCAAAATGAAAACTCCTGTGATTACCAGGTATTAACGTCTGCTAGCCCAAACACTTTTGCGGGGTACAAAGTTGTCTTTTGCGTTCATCCGTTTCTATAACCACTCTCAAGTTGAACCATATCCGTTCACATATGATTTAAATTCGCTCGGAACGCACGACGAAAGCCCGTATCCAGTTTTACGTTAACGCGTAATCGCTATAAGAAGGAAAAAAAAGAAAAAACGATGTGTCGTATATAATTTGTATCTAGTTATTATAGAGATGTTAATGGTATGATATGACTAATTTTAACATTTAGTAACTACAACGAAGGAGTTCCGATGGAAAAAAAAAGAAGAAGAGAACAATCTTTGTCCTGCAGTCTCAGAGTAATCGATTAAATGAAACATAGCCGTTAAGAGTACGTGTAAGTTACATTGTATCGAGGATACGATTACTAAGCACTGCTACCCCGCGCGGCCGATCGAAGCGAGAACAGACACGCAAAAAGGTCGATTCATCGCCGTAACACGTGATCCGGGGAATTGTAAATAGTATTGTATTATAGCACACACGAACAGATGTAAGTTATCTTCTCTTGAACTTAATAAATAACGACAATATAACGAATGGAAAGGCGCATAATCGATGTCCAATTTAGAAGACCGTTCCTATAAAGCTAGCGACATAACGTTACACATTAACAGTCCACTTGATCGTATCTGCCTGTTACAATAGACAAGTGATTCAATGAACAACGGAAATTATTTAATTAACGCCGATGTGTCATTATGCATGTAAATAGCTGTTGTTATTACGCTCGATTTCTCAATTACGATTAGAACATTGGAAACACGTTGAAACGTAAATTCGGAATGGAACAATAGTGAACGTTGGCAACGTGATTTAATGAAGCTAGACGTTTCAACTCCAGTCTATTCGTTTTTTATTTTTACCAGAAATGTGCATGGATTAATGACGGAAAGTCCCTGATTTGAAGAAAAAACAGATTTTTATTAAAACGGAAATATACATCGTTCGACAATACTCTCTGAAATTTCTAGTGAATACGTGCTGTACAAACAACAATATGAATTGTATCTTATAACAGCATCTGTAAGTGATGTGTAATACTTATCGAAATATTATTATAAAAATATTTTTCTATACGTTCGCGGAATTACAATGACGCACTGTGATTTAACGTTTCGTTATCCGAGGTTTAGAATACTGTAGAATGTAACGTTTTAATTTTAATGAATTATAAACTATATATCTCGAAAAGATGCTCCGTCGGTCTCGTTAACGATAAATTTGTTCTCGATCACGTGCAAAACTGCTAGGTAAGTTGTATGTTGACATATGAATGTTATCTAATTTCATATAATATGAAGAAACAAATGCTAAACTTCTACAAACGTACTTTGCACCGATTATTATTATTATTATTATTATTATTATTATCATTATCATTATTATTATTATTACTCTTATTATTAATTATTATTATTATTATTACCACCATCGTTAATATTTAATTATTATTACTATTGTGTTTCATCTTTGGTAATTAAAAAATATATTCAAATTAATGGAAAAGTATATCAAAATAAAAAATACATTACTTGATATGTTTATACACTCAATATCACATACAAAGATTAAGGTTCAAACATAAAAAAATGGTTCGAAAATTAAAATAAAAGGCACTTTCTCATGTTTCATTTGCTCCTACATCCTGTCGTTCGTACAACTTTCTAGATTTGTTGCATTACAATACATTACATCTACCAAAATTCTGAGATAGAATGGCGAATGGTAGAGTAGTGTTATTTAATAATATTACACTTGATGCGATATAAATATATACTTTCTTTTGCACTCATTTACACCCTGTGACCTCTGCGTTCTGCGTTCTTGATGGCATTCGCCAGGCAAAGTGCGAAAATGATGCCGATCAACTGGAATATAAAAAAAACAATGATTAAACGTTTCAAATAAAATGGACATAGATACAGTTGTTTGTTCACATAATCCTAGGCGGCCTGCGTGTGAAACGAGTAGAGCGACAAGGGGGAACGTCCACTAGCGGCGCTCGGCCCGATAATAATGGCAGAATTAGTTTCCACACGTCTTTGTTATTGGTCGAGCCTGAGGTGTAGCGTGCAGCCGAATCCCCTTGCATCTCTACCCGTTTCAGATGTTCGCTGGCGGGGATCATGTGAGTAACCAACTATAGGTATGAGGTAATTTCCTAAAACCTAAATTCCAGAATGAGAAACGACACTTACCTCGACTGCAGCAATACCAATAGCAACACCACCCAAAATAGATCCAACATATGAGAGCATCAACATTATTTCCTTGTTACAACCTGTTTCGAAAGATTCACCCCTTGTGCAACTACTATTCTCCGGTTTTCCGCAGCAACTCCAAGGGATGGGAGCGGTACTGTTAATTTTATAGAAATCATCCGGTCCGTCAACACCACAACATTTCAACTGTAATGAAATATTCAAAGTCTCAATCACCACTGATCATAAAATAATTAACCCCCGATTTAAAATAAAAATACCCACAACGCTCTGGACACTGTCCACGACATTCGCACTGTCTGTAGACTTGTAGTATTGGTCAAATATCTTTGTGTAACCCTCTCTCACTTTAGACTCGTTGTCGCTATCCTTAATAACGACGAAGGCGTACACTGCGACAGCCACTTGTATCAGCAAAATGAAGAGGAGGAACGATGCGAACTGAAATGAAATCGAATCATTTTTAAGTCACTATCGGTGTCGGTAAAAACTCATCGTTTACATCTAGAACGCAAAACTTTTCGAGCAAATTTGAGCGTAAAAGTTGATTTTCAATGTAACATAAAATTCAAAGACTATTATTATATATCGTATTTAAAATGAGTTTTATATACTCACGGTAATAGTCATACAATGACTTTCCCGAATGGCACCGCAGCAACCAAAGAACGAGATTATAAATATAATGCTACCGAGGACTATCAACGTTATCGATGGGAACGAAATGTTGATATCTACATTAGAGTTAAAAGAGGATGTCTGCACACGCACCAAAACACCGCAGGCCAAGATGCCTATGCCACATACCTGTAACAGGTAATAATGTCCAAAATGAATATATTTCAACTTACACAAAATCAGCAATAACTGTCAAGAAAAAAGACACGTAGATTAATGTCCTTACAGTAATTTAGGGGAAACAGGATTTTATAAACATTATCCTTGAACCCCATATGTCAAATTTATATTAAATTATAAAAGGTACGTTCGATTTTTCAAATGACTTATTACCTTAGAAAATGTTCTTTAACAAATTGAATGCGATGGGGTTCACCGGTGACCTCCAACCAAATCGAATTACTATAGTCCATTTAATGAAACGACGATTATTTGGAAACATTACTATATCATAAATGATGTTACCTAATGTGGTGACATTCAGCTAGATTTCTTCCGTTTTGTGTATTTTGCTCTATGAAATCGTGCAGCAGTCAACGTGTTAAATTATTTTCTGTTTCTGATAATAAAACAGCATAGCATATTTAATATTCATACACACATTAAGTTACAAACTTAGATATAACCGAAATTTAATATTTCGCGAGAATGATGCTGTGCATCTACATAATAATCAATTCCTTTGATCTTCTGTTTTCAATGTGGGTTTACGATTGAAGAGTACGGCGAGTGATTCAGTTGCCGTTGGCAGTCTCTTATTACGTCACATTGCACAACACTAACCGGTTGGCATTGGACACTCCGTGAATACGCGGTGCACCACACGATTGCGAATATCATGTGTATGCGAGAATTTAGGTCGTCCTCCAAGTATAAGCCAGATGGTTCAACGTACTGTTCACGAAGAGCATTTGAACCATCAAGATCCACTCTTTTCGCAAGTCAATTACATTCTTCGTTGCAACATGCTTAAGTCGTATATTAATAATAATTATCACAACTCGTTACATAGTTAAAATTCACTAATTATGTAACAATAAATTCGTTATTCATATATTAATTAACATTGCCAAAATGATATGATTTTTTATTATTAAATTTAGATTTAAATCTTTATTAATTAGAATTAATATTTCGAGTATTGATATCATTACAATATTGAAGACTATACAAGGACAACAGTCGATGGGAGACATTTCCGGCGCAGTGGTGGGGTTAACCGTTTAGTGACCTCCGAAGCTTGCATTCTTTGCAGGATAACCAATGTGATCTTCTGTAACCAATGTTTCTTTCTGTTTTCGTTAAATGATTTAGTCGAAACAATCTTTGATTCCAATTAATTAGTGTATATACACGTTACTCTAGTGAGGGATAATCAAACAGAATATAAAAATAACTATTAGGGATTAACATTTTGATGGCAGTTTCATAATAGATTGTTTTCTTGAAAATAGGTCACTTATTATTTCTCACAATCACGATAAATTATACAAGACTGTCTGACCCTAAATACTTCTTCATATTTGTTACAAGCGCGAATGGTTGCGTCTGACGTTAACATATACAGACGATAAGTCCGTCATAGAATCTGTAAATTCTCACGCTTGGATTTCTTCTAACAAAGGTAATATATAAAAATTATTATCTGATTACAGAAATCAATTTTTCTCAATTAAATTCCAGGAGTTATTGTCGCAGTTGCATACCTAATGCAAGAGAACTAAGGCTTGAATCATAAATGTTTTCGTACGTCGACGCTTAATAATTGCAAAGAAAATTTGCAGAGAAGTGACGATAAAAATTCTGCGAACGATTACGTTTCTTGAAATTTACTTTGCGATAAGATTACCCGTCGACAGCGTTGGAAAGTGCGTATAGCCACGACGATAGCATGAGGAACATGAGAAATACATAACTTACAACATTCTTCTAATATTAGCTAACAAATTACCGGGAAGACTGAGCTGTCACTTTTCACAATTTCTGCTCGATTATCTCGTAATTGATCAATTGACTATCGAGGTACTACAAATATTTATCGCGAACTACAACTTATCGAAGAATTCACCCTCATAACGTACGATACAAATAATAATTCGCGGAATAATTAACGATTCAGGTTGAAATAAAGTTCACCTCTCAACTTTACTTTCCTGCCACTTTTACTCTATTTTATTTTCATCATACTTTGCCCCGTATCGATATTTTTGCTACATACATTGTCTGATTATTGCGAGCGATACAGCGGCATTAATATTCGAATTGTGGTTTCAAACCATACACATAATGCACAATTTTCACCGGATTTTAGAAAAATAGGTCACCCTACAACATGAACAACGCGAAACGACGATTACATCCTTGAAACTTTCCAGATACGGTGCATTCGCGGCGTACATACGCTCGAAATTATTGTGATCGATGATGAGAGCCCCAGCACATGCGACTGTCCGATATTCAACTTTAGATAACTACGTGAATTTATCATTCGTAATCTACCGCTGACTATAGCCACACGATATTAAATCTATAGTATCGGTTTCACTGAGTGGCTACTCGAGTACTCGTTAACACGGTTTCCTTTTATTTTCTAGAACGGTGTTCGCCATGACAGTTTCTAGAGAGTATTCGAAACACCTTGCAGAGCTGAGAACAGTAAATCGCGGTCTTTCATTTTGCAAGTGCTATTTTTTAGCTGGACCTCTTTCGCGATGCTTAAAAATGAATTCTCACATTTGTCCAATATTCTGCGCATGAAATTGCTCGGTTCTACTTTCGAAACGGAGTTATAACGGAAACAATGGAATAGTCATGAGCGTTAATCAACGACACATTTTTATTTCTTTGTTCAATGTTTGCTTTCCAGTGACAGACTTCCCGGTGACCACTCAAATTGTTTGCTCATTAACGAATTACGATCAATCCAATGTAAATGAGATCGGTAGTCTGGCTTTTCCTTTGACGAACCATTAAAAATAGAATTCGCGTCCGACTTCGCTGATTGTATGTTGCGGTAACATGTCGCACAGATTCGAGCGGTTAATCAAATGACGTCACCAAATTCCCATGTTTTCCAAGCGCGTGCTTCCTCTGAAATCTCTTGCGTCTAACGACGAAAAGAAACATATTGAAGTCGCTCGACTTATCCGTGCTTTCCACGAATCGATAGCTTGCTCAACAATCTTAACGCCAAATAAATCGTGATTTTTCGCGGACGATAATTTAACCGCACATTGATTCAGCAATTCTACAAATATAAATGATGTATCAATTTTTATTGTTGGTTATCTTACTTCTTAACTATCACTTTATCAAGGGAGACTTGATAATCGCCTAGATTTGGATAAAGAATAGAGTAATTAAGATTTCGATCATTTTTAAGGAACTATACTCCGAATCCGAACGATATTCGAATTTTCTGCAGAAATCGATAAGTAAAACCGAATTCGATACATATCTAATTTCTACGAAAAAGTGTAGGAAACGGGAACTTTGAAATCGTTCGGCTTTCTGGCTGATAATAGCCAAGAGATATTCGACAATCCGAAAACAACTAAAAGCTTTTCAGAGTCGTTTCATCGGTATAATTTGTTAACGTATAATTAACGCATACTGCTGCGTCTGTAGACTTACAATTAATCACTGTTACTGTTTTTATTAACAGCTTTTGACTCATCTACCATTCATCGCAACGTTCGTTGGCGCGGATCGGCGAACAAGTGAAACGATCTGTGCGTAGTCAATGGCGATTGTGTTCGTTTCGGTGACAAATATTGACGATGTATCGATACAGGGAAACCATATTTGCCGTGGATCGTTATCTCTTAAATGTCTTCAAGGACCTATGCTTTAGAAAGTGAAATCCCCACCAAAAGTAACGAAACCTGTTTCCTGTCTCGAACAACGGTTACAGAAACCTTGAATGGGACACGCTATTTCATGGGACAAAAGGACGCGCACGGTCGGTTGAAATGTTATTTTTCGAGATTCCTTTGCACATGCGTATGTATACCGCATGGAAGCAACGCGAGAAACGCATGAAAGGAACCAGACGGCGCTGCGGATGACTCAACAGCCTTCCGCGAAAATGTAGGTTGCGGAAAATCTAGTATTAAACGAAAGAATGAATAATAGTTCCACAAAGTGGACATTTTCTGGGTCGTGACTACGTAGTTTCGTGAACTCCGAACGTAATCGACATTATCAAGGTTGCAGTCACTTACGCGTTAATAAAACAGTGTTCTCGTTAGTCATGTACATTGAGTTGTAAATCTCGCGAGTGGATTTCTGGTCCATCGAATTCCTATTCTCTCCTTTTAATCATTTCAGCACTGGCGATTCTAAAGATCATATAAACGACCACGTCTGAGGTCATACGGGGACCCATGACCAGATCTTGTTTGCACAAATATTTTGAACTTGTATTTTGTTATTTTACCGCTCTTCTTCTACTAGCGAGGAATCTTATTGACTAAATATTTTGGTAACTGATTATTGTATATAATAACTGTTAACTAAACAATTGAACAGTACGAAGGATTGTGAAAAAGATGTACCAAGTTTTAAGATTGATTTATCTGGTAACGAGGAAATTATTTATAGCACAAAATGTTATTCTACATGGTTTACTGGGTTTAAACAGTAAAAAATCAATTTGTATAATAAAATCAATTTCGACGATAGTACTATCTATGACAACGAAAATTTGTTTTCGAGTAATTTGAAGGGAGAAGAGACACCAAAAAGATGCTCCTGTGTTTTTAGGTGAACCCAGTATTTTGAAGTTGGTATTCAACGCGTGAACGGAACCTTGGACAACCGAAAGCGCAATATATCGCTGGTGAAACAGAAAGATATCGGAAAATAAGTGTACGCTGTAACATATTTCGTTGAACTGATCCCTTTTTTTTATTTTTATTCTTGGAACGTCGGAAATGATAAATACTTTCTTATCAATATGTAAATCCTTCTAGGGATTCCGTAAATAATGATCTGATTATAATATCTCTTTCATCGAACGTATTACCGTTCTTCTTTGAAGTTGCGAAATTGTGTGGAACGTATTTTCACTTAATGAACGTCTAGCTTAATTATATATCTTAATTTAAATATGTCGTTTCGACTTTCCGAGTATTTCTCCATTAAAAACAGATTTTTCAATAATCCTCTACTATGAGGATTCATGGTATGTATTCGACTATCGTCACAATCGGACGGTGAAGTTTTAACTGAAGTCAAGTGAGTAATTATCTGCATTTAACTTGTCAAACCCAGGCTTCATTCGTAACCTATCGACACACTGCATGTAGCAATTGACTTCCGTAGAAAATAGAATAAAATTACTAATTCGAAGAAACGAAAATTTGATGTATTCTATAATAGTTATATAGTTATTCTATATTGAAATTATATAAAATGCAATATAAAAACAGCGGTTGAGTCATCGTTGGCACGGCACTACCAGTCGATGACGTGTTAAAGGAAATTTTTGATGTTGAATGCGTTTCTTAACGTTGCATTCACGCTAGTTGTTCGAAAACAATAGTTCATTGCAAAACCAATTTAACCCCGGATGTAAGGTAGAGAGGAGCAAGACAAAGATGCTAAGAAAAAATTACTGTTGCACTAATTGGTGAGACATTTATAAGTACTACTAGATACAATGTCAACGTCTGTTTATTAAACTGTACATTAAATTAAACTTGCTAATTTAAATAGCAAAAATGAAACAAAAAATAATTTTAATTAGTATTTTATAGAATGATTCTTGCTTCATTGCTTTTTCTAATCGTAACTAAAAAAAAGTTATTTTGTGTTTCGAATTATTAACAGAAAAATATTGTATTCATGAAAACATTTTAAATCGTGTAAAATATCAAATGAATCTGCCAAATAAATTGAAAGTATCAGTATTATGTTATGTCCGATGCGTTACGAACATGACGGATTCGGTCGAGATTTTTTTAATCATGACCTTGAGAGTCGTTTTACTCGTTCCATGTATACTACACAACCGGAATCACTCGTGTTAATACTTGATCGTTCTTTGCTAAGAGAAAAATTTAATTCCATTTCATCGTAAACCATGTGATTCCTATTCTTCGTAATAGGAAGTAGTAATAAAAGAAAATACAATAACTATGTTGCACCACGGTGATGTTCTGTCATCGTGGCACGTTCGAAAATGATTGCGTTACGTAAAACATTCCGACGTTGTTTTATTCTCACATATAACAACGGTCGATATCTTTTCCTCTGTAAGTTGCTTCCACCGTCTTAATTACCCTAGCAGTAACATTTATTAAAACGTAACTGAAGCTGATAGTATTATCGGTAGTAGCAGTGATATTACTATCAACGGTAATAATAAAAGAAGTATTAATTAGATCAGTGCAATTAATTATACGCCCGATAGTAACAACGTAACTACACATATTACAAACATGGGCACTTGTATTGATTTACAGTTGTGTTAGGCTGAGTTTAATTTCGCAAGAATGTAAATGTTTACATTCAAGAATGTAATCGGAGTTTCCAAGATCGAGTTCATTCTTGATACAGTGACTCACAGTGAAACTAATTCGAGACGCGTCTCGTTTCAACCAATGAAAATGGCGCATTAAACGCGGAATGCTTCAATTTTCCCTGTTTACGTACAACTGTAAACTATCAAGAATGCAATTTAAATCGAATCAATGTCAAACAAATTGTTAGAAAATTGTTATTCAAATTTATCACAGTGGACTGCGTAAGATACTGGAGTATTGGAACAGATTTTCATCGCCGCATTCTAAAAAACGCGTTTTACACAATAATGCATGTTCGATTATTTATGCATTGCAAGCCTCTCGCGAAATGGAATAAAAGGGCATCACATCGTTGAATCATATAATGTCAAGGATGCCGTAGTGCGAACATACTACGAGTAAATGAATCTAGAACGGAATTACAACCACTACCCCTATGACCATGGAGGAATGACGCAGTTTCGTTACAAAGCATATAAATTGCTCTAGCTCGACGAACAGTTCGCTGTCAAGACTAGAGACTGAACATATATTCCCCCATTTCTACCAGGATCTCCTCACTGTCAATTTCTTTCTCCCCTAGTTTTGCGAGGATTAAACCAAACGCCTATACCATTACTGCCATTAAAAAACAAAAAATAACGACAGAAGTATTTTTTGTCCATAAAACATTCTCAAGAATATTCCTGTTCATATCTTTTTGTAAATATTTAACGAATAATTTAGAAATATCCGTCAACCGTCTAAAAAAACAAAACTGTCGGTAAAATAGGGACCCTAGTTTGAATTTGGCAGTCGGCTTTATCAGTAGTCTTCCCTTTTCTACATGAAATATGTACGAAATTTGATGGATAACTTACGAGAAAGAGCAAGTTGAAAATAAATAGCAACCACTTTATACATCCTGAAGCACAAGTATGCATGATTGGTTTTTGTATGATATTGGACACTAGAGTTATTTAAAAAAAAAGCGTCAAACCGGCACGAAGACTACAATCGAAATGAGACACAACAGTCGAGATGAACGTTAAAGGCTCAAAAATGAGACTGGATTAGAGTGGGGCCGAAACAAGCGAGCCAAAAGTCTGCTTCAGGTTTTCCTCAACCTATCTCTGCCTTCTTACTTATCTCCGTGCGTAATCAGTAACCGCGATTTCCTAAAGCTTTTTCAAAGAATACTCCTAATCTGTTGATTATATAATCTTCCACTTTTAATTATTTCTCGGCCAGTACTCTACGTATAATATGAAAATGAGGAAATACTTCTGTTGCATTGTAACAGTGTAATCTTACAATACGAATTATGAAATCCTGGAAAAAAAAGTATAAGGAAAGATGAAACCTGAAGATGAATATGTTTTATAATTTTGTAGAAATATATTCTGTAAAACTAAGCTCTACATTTTTCGAGAATGTGATCATTTTAAATATTATGGAAAAGCAGTTTTATATATTATTTTCGGCTGAAAAAAAATCATTTGATTAATTCGGCTATAATAATAACGAAACATCGAATTGAACCGAATACATGGTACATGGAATCAAGTACATACACAGTATTCAACACTCCTGACACAAATAGTATAGCTATATCGATTATTTAATAGTAAAGGGATATACATTTACCTAGTTTTATATCATCGTTTGAATCGCGCAGCAATATGTATACCACGTTCGCTTATCACATGTTATATATTTATTGTTAAGTATGTATAATAAAACTTTCGCAAACTTTAGTTCACGATTATGAAATCGGGAAATTTTATACATTTTATGTGCATATTGAAAGTTAACTATTTAAATTTTACACACTGACGGACAAGATAGAATATTTAACTAATTTATCAAAAAACAGCCATGAATCATGTGCCATCTTTGATCTTACAAAAAGGTTTTAAATATTTATAAGATAATGATGCATAGTCCTATGAAAGAATATTTTTTTGGTATTTAATTTTTCAAAATTAAATTATACAACGATGGTAATGTGTAAACCGTGATACCTGACCCAACTACATATATATATATATATATATATATTAGATAGCCTTATCGCATGACTCACGCTGTGTCATGAACGTGGCACATGTTTAAATAAGCGTGAGTAAAAAAAATACATTGACACAGGAATTACAACTAGTCCCTGACTAATAAACATTTTTCTGGATATGTACTAATTAAAATTCATGTTAAATATTGTTTAGATCGTGTTCAACATAACTCGATACTAGCCACAAATAGGTACTGATATTGAATCATACAATTTTAATCTAATTAAGTAAATATAGGTTCAGAGCTATGGAAAAATTTTAAATATGCAATTTATTGAACTTTGAGGAATGACAGATCATTATCGATAAAAAAAGTCATTTTTAACAACTCGCATCGAAGATAAAAATATTGCGTCAAATGGAAATTCTAGCGGAAGAATAATCACAACCAATCTGATGGTCAAACGAGTATGCATGTTTATCAGATTATATTTACAAATAACATGTGTATTGATTGCTCGATGAGAATCAAAACTGAAATAAAAGTTGCTCTAATGGTTTGTATTATAAAATGCTTTACTATATTATTTAATATATGATCAAAAAAATGTTGAGAAATCAACGAAACTATGATGTTTTCAAAAATGTCTGCAAAAATAAATTACACCACTAGATTTTTCTAAGTACAATAAATAGTTTAACGCAAATCAGTAAACACTCAGCGCACTTCTTTTTATTTCAACAAATAATCCACTAAAAAGGATATCTACTTAATACTTCCCTTTTAAAATTTTTTAAAATGCGCATTCGTGTAAATAATCGCAGCCGTGCTATAAACAGAAGTCGAATACTACGTCACAGTTAAGTTTCACGAATAATTGTTTTCTTTTACGTTTCATAAAAAACACCAACTTACCGCGAAGATGAAGTTAAATATGAAGAGTAAATATTTTATCATTCCCATTCCACAACCCATTTTGGTAGTGTTTGATGTTGTACAACTGCCACAAAAGAATATTCTTTCAAGTATTGAACTTCGTCCGGAGGACGCGCAAATTGACGCTCAACAGGTTAGGTTTGAGAACGCGCAGGGAACAACTGCGACACCGATTTCTTGTGTTCAACTGGCAGAAGAGCCGAAACGAGTTCCCGTTGTGAAGCGCAATAGCGCCGCGCTCGCCTTTATCTAGAAAGATTATGAAAGCTTTAATTCTCTGTAAATCTCGTACCAACATTGATAATACGAACTACAGTAATAACTATCAGATGCATGATACATTAGATGCATTAAATGTAGTAAAATGTAATTGATTTTCTTTGGATTATGTCTACTTCCGAGTCGTTAGTTAAATAAACACACGGTATAGAAATGTTCCGAGAATTCAAATTAACAAGGTACACCTACCATGCGAGTGTCACTACACGAAGTATCGTTATTATATGTACATTATATCTGTGAATGTCAGACAAAACGAGATTGGTCACATACTTTTAATTTCGAGATACAGCAGTTGTAAGATTAAATGCATTGAGCGCGGCATCAATAGCATATTCAGCTACAATATCAAATTTTAGGAACAATATTTTATAAATCATATGATATTAAAAAATTTCTTTGTATCTTTTATAATGAATGTCACTAAAGAATTGTAAACAAAAAATATTTTATGTCTGTTAATTATGTACAAATGTAATTTTTTAATTTGCGTGTCGCCTAAATGGAAAGCAAAGCAAAAAAAGCTTAGCGATTATATATTCAAATACTTTTTAGTAAGATCTACCATAGTGAATGGTCCTAGCAAAATAGGTAAAAGATGGTAAAAAATTATTAAATTAAGTTATGTTATCATATGTTGGATACTTATTTCCATTAAATTTATTGACTTGTTACAATGTTTGACAGAATGTTTTACCATCAATAAGACGTAGGAATACTTAAGATATGATACTCACGTTGTTACCAACAGAGTAATGAAGAAATCAATTTTACCAACAGAGTATAAGCACCGACGAGAGATACCAATGTCTTTGTTACCAATAGAACAATAATCTCAGATTAAAAATATTCGTATGACATACTTAATATTTCATACTAATAATGCATCGGATTTTAATAAGTCGTATTACAAATATTTATTTCCAGTCTGGTATAATTATATAAACTTGTATAGATCATTAAAAATTACGTTCTTTTGTATTAATAAATCTAACTATCATCCTTTCGCATCCCTCATATTGTTCACTTACACGATCAACACATTTAAAGATAACGAATTTAAATACAATAGAAAATGTATGTCTCCATATCAATGGACATTCTAGAAAATGATTCTTCCGTTGCATGTGGAACTCACTCATTCAAATTTTACTTTATATTAAGCTTAAGCTAAGGAACTCTGCAAATATTTGATACAAAATTTGTCCATCTGGCACAATATTTTTGGCATGTAGTTTTAGAATATATAAAACGAAATGTCTTATAAACATTTCTTATCGTATTAGAATTAAATGCTCGTCGTGTATCCCAGAAAAAGTAAAATGTTGAATAATTATTTATCTCGTTATTGTAAAGTAAAATTTTTTAAAAAATTGATTGTTGAACATTAGCTATTGTTTTAGGACTTTTTAATTGAGCATTCAAAAGCTTATCATTTGTTCCCGTTTCTTTAGATGCTTGCATAAGTGCTTGCGCGGCTATCATTATATCTTTTCTTCTCTCTGTCGATTCTTGACAAGCTTTCGCGTAACAAGTCATGCATACTATGAAACAAACCTGCAAACAATATCATACAAAAATATTTCAATCGACAATTATGTTGGAGAAATATTTAAAACATTGCAATCTTACCTGCAACAATATTGTACACAACGCGAGTAAGAAAATATGGAGGAGAATCGATCTAGTACGATTTATTACAACATGCTGACAACCTCTTGCATACATTGTTGTACATACACCTTTATTGTCACTTAAATTTGTAAGTGACGATACAGTGTCACAACAAGACCAAGGAATCGCATCCAGACCTCGATAATCCCCAGGTCCGTTTATTCCACAACAACGTAACTAACGAACAAAGAATGAAAAATATTTAATATTAATGAAATAAATTGTTCTAAATTAAAAAGAAGAATTCGTAATATTTCCAGAAGTGATATATATTTCAAATCTTGTTGCATTTGAACTCTAAGAAGTTCTAAATTTCTTTCAGGTTGTTAACAAGATGCTCGTTCATATAAATTATTACAATTTTTTTACTTCGACTTTATTTAACAGTTTTTTGAAATTATAATAATTCAATAATTATAAAAAACTGAATAACTAACTTTTAAGATAATTTATACATTTTATATTCACCTTGGAATGCATACGATCCCAGAGCGATTTATCATCGGAAATAGAAAGTTCAAATACTTTTTCAAGGTGCGCGCTTGGTAACATGTCCACTTGCTCGTGCCTGACAAGCGCCCAAATTCCAGCGCTTGTATTAACAACCGTGACGCCTAATAATGCTAAAGAAAACTGAATTGCAAAATTAAAGATACTTTCTTTATCGCAACTGAATAAGGTAGGAAACTGGACAGCAATTATGAATAAGCGTGAAATCAATTCAAAAATTAAATTAGAATAATTATTTAAATTAATTAAAAATTAAATTAAGGACCTAAAAATTGTGACGCTAATTTATCATTTTCCCTTAATACATATATCATTTAAACACTTAATCCCATAATCCTTAATACTAGACATAATTTTTGTTGTTAGTCACTGGTGATCGACACGATCTGAACGGAAATATTGCTATTGGGTACTGGCGGTCAACATGGCCAGAACAAAAATAATATCGACCGTCACCAGTGACCGATGTAGTCTCGAGAATACTGTTCCTTAACCCAGACCTGAATAAAAGTAATGTCACCGATCGTCGGTGACCAGTGGAGGCATAAAAGTATTATTGCTACCTAACTGAGTTATCAATGGGCATATAATATACAAACATAATTTATAATAGGAATGTAGACAATTTTCTTACAATTATGACTTGTCCCCTGTTGGAAAAGTCTAAAAATTGCCAAGCGCACCATGCAATTAGACCTGCTACCAGACCCATCACTAATAAAATAATCGATGAGCCGCAAACATTGTTGGGAGTGAGGGGTGCATATTCATATAACTGATATATGAAATAACCGGCACAAACGGCCTCTATAATACCGCATACCTGTGAAAATGTAGAAGAAAATTTTATGTCATATTTTCAATAATAATGTACACTTTATCGATAACGCGCGATATAAGTCTGATAAGCAACGATTAGTTACCTATTTATCTAATCTGTACATTGTTTGGTCTGAACGAAGCTAAAGATTTCGAAAAGTAGTATAGCAACGGATATCGAAAGACTTTTCTATTTCCCTATTAGCGTTTGGATTAATAACTTATCAAAATTAAATTTTACGAACCGCTCGTTGTATTTGCTTTGTTATTTTTAATAATATTTTTTTCTCGTGAATATGATTGAATAATAGGCAACTTTTGTAACTTCATCATTATGATGAATGCATTTATTCATATATAGTATTGATATCATAAAAAGAGATATAACATACTGATATCGTGATATATTTTAATGTTCGTTCGACAGCAATATAAAAGATAAACGATAAGGGACTTATTTACGCAAGCAGAAATTTTACCTTACTGTTACTGTAATCATTTATGTAAACCATGGCATCAATAATAATAAAAAATAAATTCATTGTTTTAATTAGATTAGATATATGTATAACAGATTTATTTTTCCATTAAGTAATTTATTACATAAAAGAGATAATTAAACATTTAGCTCTATTATTCAATTATTATTAAATATTTTATTATTTATTACATTCCTCTATATTATACATGCACAAAGTTCCTATTCTTTTAAGTAAAGTTAATTCACCCATAAAAACGAATTAAATAATTTCCTTAAGATTAAAACATTACCAAATTAACGGAATACGAAATTGCTTTAAGATGGGAATCAAACCAAAATTAAAATTAGCGGTGCAAAAGAGAGGTAGGCAGAGAAATTCAAAAACCGGAACATCACAATTACTAAAAGAACAACGCTGCAACATCACAGTAGATTGGCGGGCGTCCAATTTCGTGACGAATCGGAAACTGGTCAGCGACTGGTGTACTCTTAATAATAGAACAACGTCAAAGACCCGAGCCGAAAAAGAGTATAATTCTTTCGTTAATTTTGTTGACCAAGATACGATTAATTTTCATAGCTATGGAATAGATAACTTGCCGTGCATCTGCTCATAAACACACAATGGTACCGTGCACATGAAATATACACTTACTCCGACAACAATAGCACCACCGATGAGTAAATACCGTAAACAGACGAGCGTTCGTGCCATCACAAATTTATGAACAAAATAGTAAATCACTTGAACAGCATGTGCAGAGGTGCAGTTTACGTAAACGAAAGAAAAGCGTGAAATGTCACGATTAAGTAGCCGTCTCCACGGTGACCAGATGCAAACCTCAGAGCCGAGTCGTCATTCCTCCTCGTACTGACAATGAACTACAAAATGCAGCTGTCTGTTTCTTATTTCCCCAATCGATGAATCTTTTTCGCTTTTGCATTAAATCCTTGGCAACCATTTTACACCAAGATACTATATTTCTTTCTCTTTTTATTACGTCTATTCAATCTTTTGCTTTGCGTCAATTACACTCGTCGATTGTGCTGCTACACTTGTAGAATCATCAGGGATCAGTTCGAAAATATAGACTTAGCGTCGAAAGCAATAGTGCCTAAAGAGCAGGTGCTGTTGCCTAATAAATCATATGTTTCGTATAGAATCAATAATTTTACTATTGTTGCGAATGCTTTATTTAATTACTGCTATTATATTTTTAAAAATGCCTTAGTATTTAAAAATTTGAAATAATAATTTCGAAGTAGGTATACCGTTGGTAAGTACGCTTTGACTATGTTATCGACAGACAAAATAATTATTGTACATATTTATTCTTAAATAAGTATTTAGCTTAAAATATACTCACAAATTTAATATAAAATAACATGATGTTCTTCAATTATTCTTTGTTAATAATATATGAAAAAGTAGATGCTCAATTTGACGAATGTTCCTTAAGTATATATCATATATGTACCATAGTACATATTATCACCTCGCTGTGATATTGTTCTTCATAAGGAAAATGGTGACTGCACATGCGCAGGCATAAAGTTTCTTTGTAAAAAAGTAGATGTAAATAAATTTGATACTTGCTGCACTTTATAGTGTGCATTTAGTCTATGATCATATTTTATAATCAAATTAGTATACACATTCAACTGCCAATGGTATTTATCTGACTCATATAGTGAACAAATTTCTATAGCTTTGTTTGGTGACATTACAGAAGGTGTGTCAAAGTGTTTCTAAGCAATTTCATATAAGATTTGAACATTTCACATCAAATCAGTTATGGCTTCAGAGGAAAAAAAAGTTTGTGATTTATCTGACATTACATTAAATGAAAATAGTAATCATGACGTGCAAGTACGTGATTCTAAAATGTGCATTCAAGTTTTGTTTACTTATGGATATCTGAAATACTTGTAGGATCTTAAAGCAAAAAAACGACCAAAACGTGTATTACATTTCTCTGATGGTGATTTGGAAGAATATTCTGAAGATGAAACAGATGCTCCAGAACTCAAAGCGGTAACACAAGTAGATCCAGTTGAGTTTTGTTTATAATAATTATGTTTGATCAAAAATTTGACATCATTGCCATATTAACAAATAAAACTTGCAGAAGACTCTTAATTGGGCACCTTGGGCATGGTATCAAACTACATGGTTTAGTGGTAAAGTACTAGATGGTTGCGATTACGTTGGGGAATGGTTGGCCAATTTTTTTGGTATTACATCTCCAAAGTATGAATTTGAAATAAATGAATTTTATAGACTTCAAGCACTTGAAAAAGAAATGCAACATCAACATGATTTAGAAATGGGCGGATGGAATGAACATAATAAAAATACCCTTATAAACGATAATAATGTACAATGAAATAACTGTGTTCTGCAATGTTTATTCAATCACAATGTTTCATAGTTTAACATTGTGTGTATTAAAACCTTTCTATTGTTACAATTTAAAATATTTTAATATTTATACTTCAATATTTAGATAGTAAATATAAAAAAAAGGTTTGCTTTCAAAAGCATCACAAGTATGTATAAATTTTGTTACATACATATGTAATAATATAATAAATTATTTATACAATGTAAAAA